GCCAGAGCTTGCCATTCATGTTGGAGGTCCAGGTCACACAAAGGACAAAATATGAAAAATCACAGACCCATTCACCAAATAAATATTCCTATGAAAACTTAAATGAGTTATTTACAAATCAAATTCTGCACTATTTAAAAAACACAAACCACATGACCTCCAGGGCATCTCTCAGGAGCATAAGGGAAGTTGCTACCAGGAAGAGCTTTGCTATCAACCTTCATCTGCTCATAAATGCCATCGATCTTTTCTGGGCTAATGTGAAATAAAGAGATTTACCCTGGATTGAGGAACTGAACAAGAGAGGTGAGATGTGGGAGAGGAACTTGTGTTTCATTTTAAAATATTTTGAACATCACAAAAGGAAAAAGAATATGCAACAACAGAAATAGATTTGCCAATAATAATAACATGCATAACTTTAAATTTTCAAAATATAGATGTTTCTGATAAAACATCAATTACCAATACTGGCTCAAAAAGTAGAGGAAAACTTAGAAAGAGCAATCATCGTAGAAAAAACCAGAATAGTTCCAGATCTTCTGTCTATGGATGAGAATAAAAAACCTTTATGTGATAGTTCCTGGCTCATACAATTCATTCCAGGGCATAGAAAAAGATGGGCAGTTGCTTAGCTGCCCTGATAACAAAACTGAATAAGGAAGATGCAGGAAAAGGAAAGTTGTCAGCTTTCAGAATCAAGACACAAATATCTGAATAGCTTATTAGCAGATTGAATCTAACAAATGTATTTAATACATCATGATTTAGCCCCAAAAACAAAGGATATTTAAATATTAGAAAATGTATCCATAAAAGCTGGGTGTGATGGCTCACACCTGTAATCCCAGCACTTTGGGAGGCCAAGACAGGTGGATCGCCTGAGGTCAGGAGTTCAAGACCAGCCTGACCAACACAGTGAAACCCCATCTCTACTAAAATTACAAAAACTAGTTGGGCATGGTGGCAGGCACCTGTAATCCCAGCTACTCGGGGGGCTGAGGCAGGGGAATCGCTTGAACCTGGGAGGTGGACTTTGCAGTGAGCCATGATCATGTCACTGCACTCCAGCCTAGGTGACAGAATGAGACTCCATCTCAAATGTATCAATAAAATTAACTAACTTAAGACTAAGGGAGACGTGCCATATAAGAATCTTTAATTAATTTTTTAAAATGTTTCAAAAAATATAATATTCCATTCATGAAGGAGACCTTGCACATCAGGAGTGCTTATAGGTAACCCTGAAACCCTGAAATGAATGAACCAATCACTGAAAGCACCAGAGTTCTTTTTTACTTATACAAAATTTCCTTTGTGGCTTAGCAGGAGAGTCGACTCCTCATGGTCACTCAACAATCCAAGTGATCAAATAGCCACTACCCATGGTGTTGCTGGCCACCATGCCAGAGGGAAAACATAGGCATCGGGGGCTTCAAACTGTCCATTCAGTGCCCTATCCTGAAAGAGACACCTATTACCTCCCTAGAAGAGGGCTGAAAGTCCAATCCTACCTAGGTTTCCTACCAAAGAATAGAAGGGAACGTCCCTAAACTGATGATTTAAAAAAAAAAAAAACACCAAACTACAACTAGTGCTTTATGTAAACATTCAGCTAGACTGAATGCTTTCCCTCTAAGATTGAGAATAAAGCGAGGTTGTCCTTTCTCATTGCTCTTATTCAACACATACTGAAAGCTCCAGTGCGATAAGACAATTAAAAGAAACAAAAAGCATAAACATTGGAAAGGAAACATGTAGTATAACAAAGAAAAAGAGAGAGAAGACACAAATCATTAATACCAGGAATGAATGAGGAGACATCACTACTGACCCTATAGACATCTAAATGATAATAAGAGAATACTGTGAACAACTCTACACATATAGATTTTACAATTTATTTGAAATGGACCAATTCTTTGAAAAATACAACCTATCACAACTTATTCAATACGAACTACATAATTTTTTTTCTTTCTTTTTTTTTTGAGATGGAGTCTTGCTCAGTCGCCCAGGCTGGAGTGCGGTGGCACGATCTCAGCTTACTGCAAGCTCTGCCTCCCGGTGAACTACATAATTTTAATAGCCCTTACAACTATTAAGGAAATTGAGTTTTTAATTTTAAAACTACCATAAAAAGATATCTCAGGGCCCAGATAGTGTCACAGGGTATTTACACCAAATGCTTAAAGAATTAGCACTAATGCCACACAATCTGTTGCATAAGATAGAAGAGGCAGTAACACTTCCCATTTCATTTTATGAAGCTATTATTATTACCCTGATACCAAAACCATACAAACCCAGTAATAAAAAGATGGGGTAGGGTGACTACCACCTAGTGTTCCTCATGATTATAGATGTGATAATCCTTAACAAAATATTAGCAAATAGATTTCAGCAATATATAACAATAATTGTACACCATGAATAAGAAGGGTTTACACCAGGGAGGAGAAATTGGTTCAACATTTGAAAATTAATCCATGTAACCCACCATATTATCAGGCTATCAAAGAAAAATTATATGATCATATCAATCAGTACAGAAAAAGCATTTCACAAAATTCAATATCTGCTCATAAGTTTTTTCAAAAACTCAGAAAAGTAAGAATAGAGAGGAGCTTCCTTAACTTGATAATGAACATCTACAAAAAACTTACAATGAATACTATACTCAACTGTAAACAACTGAATGTGTTCCCTCTGTCTTAGTCAGTTCCAGCTGCTGTAACAAAATATGACACACTGGGTTGCTTAAGCAACACTTTATTTCTTACAGTTCTGGGAATGGTAAGAAAAGGAGCACAGTGCTGGCAGATTTCACCTCTGGTGAGGGCTCTCTTCCTGGTTTGCAGATGGCCACCTTCTTGCTGTATCCTCATGTGGTAGAGAGAAAGGTCTCATCTCTCTTCTTTTTATAATGGCATTTGGGAAATAAAAATGAAACCCTAAGCTCCTCAACCGGCTGAACGAACTCCCTCTTGGCCAAGCAGACCCCAAAGTAACCTTGAAAATTGAGTTCTAAGCCATGACAGGATGCAGAGGATCACACACTCCTCCTTATTACCCCCACCCCCTGCACACACACTTACTGCCATTAGACTTTTTTCCCTAAGGGCTAAATAGAAACCAGTCCTTTCAAAAGACTCCACTGCTGATATCAATCAAGCACCTGACACTGCTTCTCCCTTTTTTTGGTTTCAACACAATTGTCCAGCATTCCCTCCTGATAAGAGACCACTGACCACAGAGTGGTTCTAGCTGGTCTATGTGCGACAGCATGAAGCTCCATTGCCCATGTGCATGTTTCTCCTTTCATAACTCTTCCTATAGCTTATTAAATATGCATATTCAGCCATTCTACTGAGCATAAATTCCTGCTCCTGCTCCCTTTTCCTCTCTGTGGAAATCTCTGTTTCTGGCTTCTGGCCCAAGGCTACACTTCTCGGTCTGCCAGAATGGCCATGCTGCAGGCTGAAACCCCTTATGAGAAGTAAAACTCTCCTTTCTAAATGTATGAACCTCATCATTCTTCAGTTGACATGATTGGTGATGAGGATGGGATCTGCAGAGAGCCCCAGGTTCTCCCAGCATGATTGGAAGTCAATGCACCAAGGTGTTCGGCTCAGCTGTCTCCCCAGCTGACCACACAGGGGAAGAAGCCAGGTAAGGTCCACTGGATCTGAGATCTCCTGCTTTTAGATTGAAGACTTCAGAGACTTTTATTTCTCTCCACCCTTTCCCTTTATGTCTTCCTGTTTCCTCCCCAGTCCCTGCCTTGGTTCCCTCCATCTAGACTCTGGAGGGAATGCCTTTGTTGGCCCGGGTTTAGGAGGGGACCTTCCCAGTCCAGTCAGACTCAGCTGGTCCATAAGATTTTATGAGGACTCTCACACTAAGAACACTCCAACGGACCCTTCCTAAGGTGAGCGTCATTACGGAGAACCCGAGTGCTAGGCAAGAACCTTAGTTCTAAGGGGAAAGCATAGAGAGCCTTAGTTCTAAGAGAACAGACGCTGATCAGCCACCATAAGAGACC